AGGCGGCGCGGCTGCGGTGGCGGCGCTGGCGGGCCCGGTCCATGGCGCCCGAGCCGCCGGCCGGCTCCAGGGACGTGGTGCGCGTGGCGCTCAAGCTGCCCGAGGGCATGGGCGGCGGGGAGCGCATACGGCGGGCCTTCGCGGCGGGCACGACGCTCGAGGAGCTGTACGCCTTTGTCGAGTGCTACGACGTGGTGGCGCAGCGCGGGGACGACGACGACGATGTCGTCGAGGCGCCGCCCGAGGGCTACGTGCACGACTACCGGTTCCGGATCGCGGCGGTGATGCCGCGCGAGGTGTTTGAGCCGACGGCGGGGGCGACGGTGCTGGATAAGATTGGCAGGTCGGGGAATCTTGTCGTCGAGATGGTTGTGCCTGAGGAGGAGGAGGATGAGGAGGAGGAGGAGGAGAAGGAGGAGAAGGTGGATGGTGCGGAGGGAGTTGATGTATAAAGATAGGGGGTGCGTTCTACTGCTAGACGGCGAAATTTAAGAGAATATAACAGCACACTATCTTGGAAGCCCCGAGTTGCTCAGGAAGCTGTGGCTATATAGTATGTGCAATGCTGACATATCTCTGTCCCTTCTGTCCACATACTTGGGTAGCTTACAATCTGTATCACACGATAGGTACCTAGGCATCGCGCACTAAAAGAACCCCTTCCCAGAGACGACATCCTCCTTCTTCCTCGCCACCCAGAACTGCGCGCTGTACGCGTTGCGCGTCAAGGCCCTGTCGTCGAACCCGTACACGGCCTCCTTGCTCCAGACCTTGCTGCCGCCCTCGAAGGTCGGCACCCCGCACACCGACTCCTTGTCGGTGTCCCACTCCTGCTCCACGAACTCGAAGCCCATCGCCTCGGCCACGGCGACGACTTCCTCGAGCGAGAGCTGCACAAAGGGCCCCGTGCCGTACAGCAGGGGGCCGAAGTTGACCCAGTGCCCGCCCGGCGCGAGCACGGCGCGGACGGTCTCGAGGTAGGCCATGAGGTTGCGCGCCGTGTCGATGAAGAAGAAGGTCAGGACGGCGTCGTAGTGCGCCCTTTTGGCAGCGAAGACGGTGGTGAAGTCGCCCTCCACCAGCAGCACGTCGTGCGCCAGGGGGTCGGCGTCGGGGAAGGGCACGGCGCGGAGCTGGTCTGCCGTCGTGCGGTGGTGGGACCAGCCGTCGATGAAGGGGTGCAGGTGCAGGGGGGCTCGGGGGCGCGAGGAGGTCAGGAACCGGTACGCGGCGTTCATGTACATGCTCCACTCGTTGACGGTGACCTCGAGCCCGCCGCCCAGCGCCGCGACCTCGTGGCCCAGGCGGCCGAGCCCGGCGCCGGGCAGCAAGATCCGGGGCTTCTTCTTCTTCTTCTCCCCGTCGACGCGGTCGGGGAAGAGCCGCGCCACGGCGTCGAGGACGCAGGCGTACGCCGGCGCGCGCTCGGCGCGCCCGCCCGCGGCCGACCAGTCGCGGACGAAGTGCTTGAGGGCCTGGGCGACGCTGACCTTGTCCCCGGGGAAGCCCCGCGCCCCGCTGGCGGCGGCGGCGGCGTGGGCGGCGAGCTCGGCGTCCGGGACGCCGTAGAAGGACTGCGCGGCGCGGACGATCTCGTCGCAGAGGGCGGCGTTGGTGGCGATGAGGGCGTCGACGGCGTCGAACTTGGCCGAGTAGCTGATTGTGCTTTCGAGGAGCTGTTGGGGGGGGGTTGCAACAAGGCAGGATGGTTTAGTTTTTGAGGGCGAGGACGGGAGGGGGGGGGGGGGGGGGGGGGGGGGCGGGGGGAGGGGGGGGGGGGGGGGGGGGCGGGGGGGGGGGCGGGGGCAGAGGTCTGGGGTAGAGGCCTAGGGCCGGGGCTTGAGAAGATAGGGGCAGAGGCCCGGGGGCTTGAGAAGACGGGGAAGGGAGGGGAGAGAGAGACACGTACGAGGTGCTGCCTGCGCGAGACGTAGCGGTAGTGGTCGCGCCAGCGGTCGAGGTCGGCGCGGTTGAGCTCGGCGTAGCGGGAGAAGGAGTACAGGGCGTCGAGGAGGCGGTTGCGCGGGTGGTGCTCGTCGAACTTGCCGTGCTTGCGGCTCATGCGCTCGAGCAGCCGGGCTTTCTCGTCGAGGTGCCGCTGGCCGAGGGCGGGAGGTGCCTCGGTGACAACGGAGACAATGACCTTGTAGACGGGGGAGGCTTGCGGGAGGAGGGCGTCCTGGGATTTCGCTTGTGTTAGTGGCCCTCCTCTGGGTGTCTGTGAGGCAAGAGAAGGGGTTGTTGGAAGTATACATCGCTGGCTAGGCCTGGTCCTTGTTTGTTGGTATGGACGTCTACTGATCTGTCGCCTTTGGTATCCGTTGCCACGGCCGGAGGAGTGTGGCCGAGGAGGACCAGCAGGCCCAGGACCGGGGCGAGATACTTCATGCTGCACGGGAGGATCTATTTGCTGCAGCGGTATGTCACGCAAAACAGACGATCACGACGACAACACCCAGAACATCTCAACCGTCTAGTGATTCTCACAGAGTGAATTGTGCGCCGGAGAGCGAAAGAGTTTTCTTTCAAGACTGTCTGCTGGCTTGAGAACCTTGAGGGAGCCAAGACTTTGGGGGACTTACACACACACACACAAACACACACTCAGCTAAGTATCGTGGGATCCAGTATCACAAAGCACCCTTCTTTATACCCGGCAGATTGAGGACTTGTCGTTTTCAAGAGACTCGCTTCAACCTGAATCAGTAGTGCGGTCAGTGTTCATAATCAGTACCTAGGTAGATTGTGATATAAGTAAGTGTTGGGTGTTGGTACGGTACGGTACGCGTGCGTGCGCGTCCCGGGGCCAGCCTTGAAATCATTGGCGGCGGATGACCGAGCGTGTTGCGTCATGTCGAAGGCTTGGTCCGAAAGGCCAAGACGCCAAAAGGCAGTCAGTCAGATGCCGAATGCTCTCTGTCTGTCTGTCGTCGTCGTCGTCTAGCATCGCGGGAGGTGTTGTCGTTTCGTTGGTTTGTAACCACCACCACCACTACCACCACCAAGATTCATCAACGCGCTGCAGCTGATTTCCGTTGAAACGCGAAACAGACGGACTCGTCCCATCTGCCCGGTCTCACCCAACCAGAGATCCATTGGCGTGACATTGCTTGTGCTGACAGGAGTGACTAAATGCCCGCAACAGGCGCAACAGGGCCTGGGATGTCCCGCCGGCTGGATCCTTTGGGGGGCCAGTTGAGCAAGCCTATTCGCTCCCAGAGCCCACACTCCACTGTACAAGTACGGGCGCGTGGCTGTCAGTGGGCTGGCAGCCTGGGCCTTGCCTAAGGTACTTGTAGAATCCCTCCAGGGCTCTCCTGTCTTGGTCCGCTGGAGCTGCCTATAGTCACTGCCTATATCCGTCCGGATGCGGGGAAGCAAGGGAACAAGAGACACTGGAAGGGAAGAAGCTCACTGACTGGCTGGCAGGCGATCCCCTTTTCCTCGAGACTAGTTAGGTAGTTCGCCCTCTCGTCGCACCCGCATGTGGCTTGGACCTGGTAGACGCGCACCCCATTTTGCTGCCATGGACGGTCGATCACACACCCTCATTGGCGACTGACGATCAACCTACCTGCTCTGTCTGTCGCCTTTTCATGTCCATGATCCTTTTTCCCTCTCTTTCTTCCCTTGTCCTACTTGTGTGACATACACACCGATCCTGGCTTTCTTCCTCTCTCCAACGACCAACCAACCCGTACAAGCCGACGCATTGTAGCATAGCGACGACGATTTGTGTGTTTCCCCGTGTTTGCAATACCACCCCCAGCCTGCGACGCCCCCGTTCACCGCCCGCCGTTTCGTGCCGCTATACCGCACTGGAAGGGAGAGAAAGAGCACAGAAGCGCGACGACGACGCTGACGGCCAAGACCTCCCTCGACTTCCCTCAGCCACACCGCATCTGTCCTGCGAGCAGGCAGAAAGAACAATCCGGGCATGATGAAGAAATTCAAGATGGACAAGATGCTGGGCAGCATCAAGCGCAAGCCTTCCACTGCCGGTAAGCCCATTGTTGCCTATGGTTATAGTCGATCGCAGCCTGCTGACAAGAGCTTGGCGCCGCGCTCCCCAGGCACCAACGGCGACGGTCCGGTAGGGCCGGACGGATCACGGGCGGGAGAGACTCCAGAGCAGGTCGTCAACAGATGCATAGTAAGCCGTGAGCCCCCGCGAGTTGGCCGGGCCTCGTCGGAGACAGAGATGCTGACCTGAATACTTTTTGCGACAGAAAGCATTTTGCGGTCTGAGCGGCGCTGAACAAGCTGTACGTTTTGGATGTTCCCGGCCACACTGACTGGAGACCCGGTTCCCTCTTGTCTATCTGCAGACTACCTATTCTAACGCTTCTGACAGGGCGACGAAGTGACATTTCTTCCTCCCATCGTCGACGCCGCCGAGTCGTCCCCCGCAGCGGCGGCAGAATGCGCCCGCCTCATCCGGAAACACCTGCACCGCGACTTCTGGTCCAAGCCGTCGTGCCAGTACAACTCGATCATGCTGATGCGCATCCTCGCCGACAACCCCGGGCCGAGCTTCACGCGCAACGTCGACAAGAAGTTCTTTGACGTCGTCAAGGACCTGCTCCGCGCGGGCAGGGACCCGAGCGTGCGCCACATGCTGATGGAGACCCTGGACGCGTTTGAGCAGACCAAGCAGTACGACGAAGGCCTGCAACCGCTCGTCGAGATGTGGAAGAAGGAGAAGGACAAGGCGTCCAAGATCTACGCGGTAAGGCTCTTTCTCTCCCTCTCTATCTCTCTCTTTCTCTCCCTCTCTATCTCTCCCTCTCTCTCCCTCTCTCTCCCTCCCTCTCTCTAGCTCTATCTCTCCCTCTCCCTCTCTATCTTCTCTCTCTATAGCTCGAGCAGGCTCGCAAGCCACTCACTCGATAGCCATAATCATGCTGACCGATTTCCACAAGAACCATCCGCAACCGCGCACCCTCAACGCGCCGCCCTTCAACTCCTACGCCCAGACCTTCCACCACACGCAGGCGAACCGGCTGCCCAACGCCGTCGAGCTGGCCAACCGGCTCGAGGAGGCGCGCACCTCGGCCAAGCTGCTCACGCAGGTGGTGCAGTGCACGCCGCCGCAGGAGGTCATCGGCAACGAGCTGCTGCGCGAGTTCTCGGAGCGCTGCACGTCGGCGTCGCGCAGCATCGTCGGCTACATGCAGGCGCAGAGCCCGGCGCCCGACAACGACACGATGGAGAGCCTCATCGACGCCAACGACCAGCTGCAGCAGGCCATCAGCCTGCACCAGCGGGCCGTGCTCGGCGCGCGCAAGCAGCTCGGCCTCAACAGCGGCGCCGCGAGCCCCGCCCCGAACGAGCAGGGCGGTGCCGCCGCCGGCGCTCCGCCCCCGCTCCCGTCGCGCGACTCCCTGGCCGGGGGCGCCGGCGCCGGCGGCAAGGGCAAGTCGACGGAGCTGCTGCCGCAGATCGGGGGCGCGGGGGCGTCCTCGTCGCGCTCGCAGAGCCACACCCCGCCGCGCCCGGAGGAGGACCCCTTCCGGGACCCGGAGCACCACCACCAGCAGCAGCAGCAGCAGCAGCAGGACAGCTCGCGGCCCGGGTCGTCGTACCGCGTGCCGCTGGGCGAGGGCTCGCGGGGCGGCGGCGGCGGGGGCGGGGGCTCGTCGTCGGCCGCGGCGGAGGAGCAGCGGCTCGCGTTCGAGCCGTACCACCCGGGCTTCAGCGCGACGCCCAGCTACCTCGACCGGCAGGAGAGCGCGGCGGACAAGGTGCACATGCACGGCGCGGCGACGGGCGCAACTGGCGGCGGCGGCGGGTCTGCGGCGAAGAAGGATGCGTCGTCGTCGAACGGTCCCGAGGTGGCGGCTGGGGCCGGGGCCGGCGGGAGCGCGGCGAGCCGGACGCACGAGGCTGGTCTGTATGACGACGACGACGATGATGACGCGCCCAAGGCCGGGGACAAGCAGCCGATGTACAGGTATTGAAGCGGGCTCTCGAACGGGGGCATTTCCGCCACTGAAAAGGGAGGGCTGGCTGGCTGTTGCATAGTATATGTGCCGTTGGGGGGGCCGGGGGGGGGCCGTAGATAAGGACTTTTCCTCGTGTGTCTTGTGGTGGCTGGGTGCTTCTTCTTCTTTCCTCATGCCTCCTTGCGCTGTGGTTGCCCTTGAGCAGCGTCTTCCATGTTCATTCTTGTCCCCTTTCGCTTTTTCCCTGCTTTATTCATTTCAGAATAGATGATATCCCCAAATACCATTTTCAATGACCAGAAGATGTGCGCCCGCGCAGTCGAGGTTCTTTTTTTCTTCTCTTTTGTTCCAGATACATATGGAGAGACGAGTAGCCCAGACTCAGGGGGGCCTGTCCCTCCGGTGAAATTGATTCCAGGTTCTGTCCGACTCGGCCGAGTCTGGCTCCCGCAACGACTGATTGAGGCTGAGGCTGAGGCTCGTCGGTGGTGGAGACATTTCGGTGCTTCTTGGCAGTCAAAGATGACTTTCTGTCCTCTGCCGCACTGGACTGTACCTGATACAATACAAAATGTATTCGCAAAGAGACTTCTTTGGTGCTGAGGCGGATGCATTCTGGACAAGTGGTGACGATGATGGACTGGGAGTACTGTCTTCATGTCTGCAGTAACTAAGCCAGAATCCAACTCTCCCCAAGCCCTCCCTTTTTTCCAGAACATCTCAACAATTCGTCTGATGGTCTGGTTAAGTGCACATCATATTATGTGAGAGTTCGGACGAAATGATCCGGCTGCGCCTACAAAGTAGCTATCCGTATTAGTTAAACAGGACGACGGGCATGCTGCTGAGTCCGCGACCAAAAGTCGAGGAATGGAGACAGCCATGATCATGCTACAATACAGGCTAGTGACACACGCCCTGATGCCGATCATTAACGAACCCCGACCGACACTTGTTCCATGTGCCCCCCTCTGTACAAGTAGGTACTTGTAGGGGGGAGGGTTTCAGGGGCTCTGCGGGGGCAACTTCAGATTAATTCTTGTACTTGTAGTCACTTGTATCCCGTGACATCCTTGGCTGTCCGTGCTCTGCCCGCTCTTCTCAATTTCCGTAGGGCTTGCAGCGTGGCTTTCTTCCCAGGGACCAGCGGTCTGGGCCGCCCTCCCTCCCTCCCTCCTCTCCCCCGATCGACAAAAGCCCGCCCGTCCAATCGCAACCCTAGCCCGCTCGAGTTAAGAAGAACCTTGGAAGGGCCCGCTCAACCCCTAGTTAGACAACTTGTGCATGCCGTTCGTTGTCTGCATGTTCGCTGCTCGCCAGTGCGGCTTGTGCGGGCATGGGCATGGGCACTCGAAACAGGCTTGCCCACATTGCCCTGCCCTGCCCTGCCTGCCCTGCCTCGACATCTTCTTTTTTGCGACATTCCTGAGACGAGCCGATTGGACGGGTGAACCCTGTGCTGGGTCGTCCGTAACCCTCGTTTACCACTTCACCACTCCCGACCGTTGGATCTTCAGGGACGCCGCCCTGCGCAAGATACGGGGACTAGTTACTTGTAAAACAACAACGGCCCAAGGCTGGCTGGTGCTGCCACGCGCTTACTGGACAACGGAGTTGAGATATTTGCAGGCGGAAGTGCTTCCGACCGCCCGTCGTGGAGCGAGCGAACCATATCGAACCTTCCTTCTGCTGATTCGTAAACTCTGCCGGATCCGGGGGCAAGACCGAAGCAAGCCACGGATCTTCTGCGTGGCTCACTACTTGTACTTGTGTCTCGCGAAGACCAACCGTCGTCGTCCCCGCTGCACTGCAATGGGCTTTTGCGTCTCGAGAGACAGGTGCTCTCTCCGCTCGAGATCCCGCGTCTTGTGTGGTCTGGTCTGCTAGGTAAAAGGACAACTGCCCTGCTGAAACATTACAATAGTTACAAGCAACTACAAGTAGCATCGTTCTTAGCCCGGATCGATGCATGGGCGGCATGCGGATCGGCAAGCCAAGATTCGCCCCTGCCATGTTTTGGGACTGCCTCCTTGTACAAGTACTTGTACACTCCGTATGGCGCGGTCATGGACTCGACACGCTGCTCCGTCAACACCATCAACAACAACACCCTGCTGTCTGTCTGTCCTGTATCCACGTTGTGTCCTCAGCTCAGTGTCAGTGCGGTTCTTGCATGGGCACGGGGCTCGAGGCAGTTCTGTCCTGTCCCGCACCCACTCTTGCTTTGGTTCGAAGCAGAGCCGTGGGGTCGAATTGCTTGGCTCCCTGGGCAGTGCCAGTGCCAGTGCCTGGGCCTCGCTCTCGCCATCTTTTCCTAATTCGGGCGAACCTTGCGATTCGACACGGGACCCCACATGCCACGCTCCTCCAACGCCCCAAGACCCCGGAACCGCCGCCGCTGCGTGCCGTGTAAGTCGAGGACCGATGCCCGCCCGTTTTGCAGGGCACACACACACACACACACACACACACACACACTCACGCAAAATTGCCCGTCTATGCGTCGACTGTCTCCGCCCCATCCCCCCCCTTTCTCCTTGGTGATGTTTCTGATCAAGATAAGACATGTCTTTTGCAACCTATTCTCTCTGCCCGATGTTGTGCAAACGTTCAGTGTCTACGACACCACTCGAGCAGTCAGTGGCTTGCAGGTCGTCGTCTGGCGGCTGAATGTGATCCACTGGAACGTATCTTTTGCCCTCGGTCTTTCTCCCCGAGTGCTAGCCTGTTCCGAAATCTCTCGGGGTTGCAATACGGAGCAGGACCGCCGTCTTGAGAGACGCCTCAACCGCTACTTCGTCTCATCTTGTCTCCCTTTGCCGGGGATCTGGATCCAGGATCTGTGGGTAATTCGGGTAGATATCGCCGCCCCACGGACGACGAACTGTCCACCCTACCTGCCTCGTACTCCGTACTCCGTACTCCTTTACCTCCTCTGGCCCCATTCTCGCGCGCACACACGCAGGCAGCTGTGGATTGCTTCTCCTGCACTGTCCAAATGTCCGGACGACATGTGTGGAGCCATCTGATCTATTTGTATTTGTCCTTCCTTTTTTCCCGAACCCACCACGACGGGCTTGCCGTAAGTAACCCTCTGCTCCCGCCGCTGGTACCACGCTGTCACCTGTCATCTTGCTTATGGGGACGGGGAGCCAATGGGTTCCGACTGACAGCACGGAATCACACCTCATATCCTCACATTGGTCCATCCTCTTGACGCCCGCGCACGAGATTGTCCTTTGTCAACTTTGAACGTCGTTGCTGGTGGCTGACATCCCTCCCGGATGTCCTCTTGGGAAGACATTCCGTTTCCTTCTGACTACGTTCGTCCTCTACTCGGCTTTCCCATGCATATGCAGAGAGTAGCGGCTCCGTGACTTCACACCCTTCCCATAGTGTCCGAGTTACTCGGGTACGTACCCAACGACGCGCCGGCCGGGGCAAGCCACAAAAAAATGTCTCTTACTCTCCTTCCACAGCTTGATATCATCATCGTCCATGTGCGCCCACACACCTGCCTAACCACACAACCCCCCCCTCGCCGATGTATTTCTTTCAAAGATGCTCAGAGAAATACCTCCCGTCGCGGCAGCAGGAGCAGCAGCGGCTCCTTTCCCTCTCCCTCTCCCTCTCCCTCACCACCTGCACCATTCCCGTCCTCATCTCTTCCTCCCCCATCCCAAGCGGAGGATGACGGAGAAGCATCTGCCCCGGCGTGCTTCTGTCGTCGCTGTCCCTGCTGCTGCTGCTGCTGCTGCTGCTGCTGCTGCTGCTGCTGCTGCTACGGCGTCGACCTGCTCCATAGGCGACCTGAGCGAAGAGCTCATCGCTTTGATTTTTGAGCATGTATGTACACTCTTTGCCCACTCTTTGCCTCTTTGTTTTTTTTTGGGGGATATGTGGGTTTTCAGACGGAACTGCCGTTTCTCTTACAAGTAGATGGAGTGTGTTTGTTGTTGTACGTTTGTGTTTGCTGATGAACGAACCTAGCTACGAGGAATCGATCTGGCCTCCGTCTTCACGGCCCGTCTGGTGTGCTACAGCTTTAACCGGATAGCCTTACCTGTGGCCTACCGCACCGTGACGCTCAACAAGAGACTCGTCGCAGCCGATGCTCCAGCTCGGTTTCCGGGGGCCCTCGCCCACATCGAGGCCTACACCCGCCATGTAGTAGCGGGCAACCGGCTCGCGGCAGAGGGCGTGCGGAGGATACTCGAGAGCATCCGTCTCCTGGATTCCCTAACGTTAGTGCCCGACTTTGCTTTGTCATTTAACCTCCGCCATGCGTATGTAGTTCTAACTTTTTCTTGCTGTTTGCAGATGGCGCTTCGACACACGGGACTTCCAAGCCGGTAGCCTGTGGCTGCCGGCCGACGTCCTCTCTGCCCGGCACACCCGAGGCACGACAGGCAGACCGAAACTCTACATAGAAGACATGCCCCTGCGAGACGGCGGCGGCGGCGGTCACGGCACCGGCGCCGAGAACCACTATCTCCGGTCCGTGCCGGCGGACCTCCTCGTCTCGCTGACCATGTCGCGCGACGTGCCGCTCGGCACCACGTCGCTGGCCGCCCTGAAGGAGCTCCTGCTCTCCTCCCGCCGGCTCACGGCCTTCAGCTACCGCGGCTGGGGTCAGGGCACGCAGTTCGCCTTCTCGTCGCCCGCCGACGACGGCCGCCGCCTGCCCCCGCTCACGGCGCTGACCCTGCGGCACTACAACTGGCAGCACACGCGCCGCGACGTCGCGCGCCACTGGGACCTGTCGCGCCTCGCCGACCTGCAGCTGCTCTCGGTCCCGCTCTTCCCCTTCTTCGCGTCCGTCAGCCCCACGGCCCTGGCGGGCCTGCGCGTCCTGCGCGCCGAGGACTACAGCGCGCACCTGCCCGGGGGCACCGGCCGCCGCCGCGAGGCCACGCGCCGCCTGCACGCGCTCGTGGCGCACCACGTCCCCGCCGCGCAGCTCGAGGTCCTCGACCTGCGCTGCCACACGCGCCTGTTCCCGCTCGACGCCGTGCTGCGGCACGCGCCCGCGCTGCGCGAGCTCGCGCTGCGGGACCACGTCGGCTTCGGCGAGGACGCCGGCGGCGAGGACGGCGGGCGGTGCCCGACGCTCGGCGCGGGCCAAGTGGCGCTGCTGTCGCGGGAGCTGAGGTCCCTGCGCCGCCTCGAGCTCGACCTCGACGTCGCGGTGTGCGACGACGCGGGCGGGTTCCTGCGCGCGCTGGGCGGCGGGTTCGCGCGCCTGAGGTGGCTGACGCTGCATGTGCAGACCGTCGTCGACCCGGAGGAGGCGGAGGGCGGCGGCGGCGAGGACGCCGACTACGCGCAGGCGGTGAGGATGTTCCGGGTGTTGGTGCAGACGCGGAGGCGGAAACAGCTGGAAGAAGGGAAGGCGGCGGCGACGGCGGCGACGACGGCGTCGTGGGAGCGGATCACGATCAACGTCGGCGGGTGGAGGAGGATCATGGTGCGCAGGCTGGACGCGGCGTGGAGGGCGGCGAATGCGCGCGGGGTGTTTGCCGAGCGGTGTTTCGTCCTCGAGAGGCGGGAGGGAGAGGAGGTCCCGGACCGAGGAGGGGATGCGGATGCGGATGCGGAGGATGGTGATGGGCTTGGGGGGATGATTGTGAGGGAGGAGTTGGCTGAGGAGAGGCTTTGAAAACTTGATTGAAGGTAGGGTGTTTTGATGGTACCCCCCTCTGATATCTGATATCTGATGACTTGGGTTGGAAAGAATGAGGTTTTTTTCTGTGGACGCCAGGACTGATGATGATGAAGGTGATGGCATGTATTGGGGGTGAACAGTACCAGTGGTGAGAGTTTATGAGATTATGACTACGCTACCTAGGTACATAGAGATACAGCATTAGACTGCTAAGACAGGGCCCCCCACAACTTGGACCGCCTCCCCGCGGACCACCTCAATTTCAATTTACATTTGCCCATCTCCACAACATTGTACGATAAACGCGTCAATTCTCAACCAATTTCTATGGGATCGCCACCAAATTGAAGCTATTCGCAGATGGGTTCAAAATATACACGGAATCCAAGCTTCAAGATGCGATGATCCACGACGTGCGACAAGGCATGTCCCTACACGCCGCTGCGGCGGTCCATGGGGGTCCCGCGTACCACCCTTCAGCGACGATAACGGCGGCAGTATTCCCATCCAGACTTGCTAAAGAACGCTCTCAAAAGCTCTCAAGCCATCAGGAGGAGGACCAATTGGCTCGATGGGCAGTTCACACAGGCGGATCTAGGGCTGGCCCCCGACCCATACATAGCCAGCTTCGAGAGATGGGGCCAACGGTTGCTGGCTGCCCACTGGGACCGGCCACCAACATCTTGGGAAGAATTGGATAGACCAGTTTCTTAAGCGGAATCCGTCTATCCATGCAATCAAAAGGCAGGAAGATTGATTTTAACCGGCTTGGAGGCACCACATCTGATGTCATCAAGGCCTTCTTTGCCCGGCCAAGGCTCCCAGCGATCGCCAAAGTGCTCGAGTCGTCTTGTGGCTGCGTCTCCGGTGTCTCCGGTTGCCCTCGTAGTATGCAGAACGATTAGATTGCAGGAGACGGGGTTTGCTAATGGTGCACAGAAATTGTTTGAGCGAGCAGGAGAGCAGGAACTCCTGTATAAACTTGGGGGCTTCAACCCGTATGATAGAAAGAGGCAGAAACCTCGATCTCGAGCGCAGAGGCAGGGGACAGTGTTGTCTCGAACAGCCGTCAGATATCGACAGCAACCACGGCACCGTGGCCTCCCGCGGCCCCAGTCAGGTCGCCCAAGAACGGCCAACAATGTGCCTGTTACGTCTGGGCTCATCGCCCATCAAACTGGCAGTCGTCGTTGGCCTGTATGACGCTGGTGAGTCGCGTAGACGGGGACGGAATCGTCACACCCTCTTCGTTTCAGTTTCGCTCTCAGCTGGTACTTTTACCTGCAGGCCTAATATATCTGCGACTACTTTCCTGATATAATAGTCTATGCCAAGAGGGAGGATGGAAAGTGAAGAGCATGCTAGCCAAACGTTTTGTTGGATCGTGATATTAAGACCTACTTGGTCTGTCCTTCCGCCAATCCATGGGTTGAAGTATGGAGTGAGAGAGCGCTTCTCCTGGACAAAGCATCGCATCACCGGGACTTTTACCCTTCTCGTCCGTGCATACGCGCTACTGTCATTGTGCTTTCGTCAACTAGCGAGGTATCTGGTAGACTAAAGCGACTTGGGCAATGTGGATAGTCTCGGGCACACAAGTCCTCTCTGTGGGAAGAGGCTTGAGCAGGATTCTCCTTCAATATTGAAGACATCGTGCAACTAAACCTCGAGCTGACGTCAACTATACACGTTTCCTTTAGCGGTCCAGGGTTTAGAGTTGAGCACTGCTGCAGGGGTGGCCTTGGCCCGCGGCCAAGGAGGAGTTATTTTCGGTTGCTGTGGTTGCGTGCCTAGTTAACTAGTGTGAGAACCGGTGATGGATCCCTGTCCCCTGTTGAGGCCGATAGAGTATAAAAGTCTCACGATAACGATGATGACCTGTGGGTATGGAGCCCTGGCGAAGCAGATTGCTTGTTGAAGTGGCCCGAGACTGGCGATTCTCCAGGATCAATCAGACTTGTGCTCTCCCAAGAGCGCCACCACCTCAGTTGGGGAACAGCTAAGTATGACACCTCCATCTAGACTTTGGGGATTTCCCTCGTCCAGGTTCCCGAGCTGTTGCTGCTTTACCCTGAGCTATGGTGACCCGAGTGGAGTGGCGACTCGGCCCGGGAGCCTCGTTTTTGGCCACCCTGGCTAAGAAAATGGAAGAACCTATGTACGGGTGTCATTTCGGGTACCTGTTCTCACTTGTAGCCTCTAAGGCTTGTCGGCCACGCCCGTTATGTCTGCTGGCTATTAAACATCGACGGTAGGAGATACCACTGAACGTGATGTCTGCTCGTAGATTCCACCGCAGACTGAGACTCTTAGACATGTCCTGCTGCATTTGGCAAAGAGTGTGAGCCCGCTGAGCGCCAATCTGTCTAACGCATACGGTTGTCATAGTCCCAAATGAGCCGATTATGCGAGTCCCTTGCTCATCCTGCCCCGGAATCCAATGAAGATCTCCAGCCCTGTCAGGCATAGAGGACCAGACGCTTCACAGGATGGAGGCAACCAACCATCCACAACGCCTCCAAGATCATTTAAAAGCCTAATCTGCGGCCATACAGCATTCAGAAGGAGGCAGGAACTTGTCTGACATCTTACGAGACATAACAGCTGCCAGTTTCAGCCCACTGAATCTTATACAGCACCAATACCGTCGCTCAACGAGGGAAACTCGTCATTTGCATATCGTGTTTCCACCTCTGTGTCTTGCAAGTCGGGGAATGGTCTCGTCCAGTATGTGATCTCGTAAATAGCCGACCCCAAGGCAAAAAGCTCCCTCTTGACGACCGGTCGATGCTCAAAATCCCGACCTCGACAAGGCAGCTCATATCTGGGTTCCTCACAGACCGTTTGAGGAAATGTCGAGTTTTGCATGATTGACCCCCCAAAATCTCCAATCTTGACCCGGTAATTGTCAAAGAGGAAGAGATTCCGGCAACTAAGATCGGCGTGCTGGACTCCTCGTGAATGAATATGACTGAGACCGACAGCGACATCCAAGGCCATCTGGAGCCTATGGGGTTCCGAGAGGCGTTCATTTCTCTCGATATACTGCCGGACATTGCCGAAAGGTGCCCGTTCAAGCCTGAGAGAGTTCATACCATCATGAACACTGACGAGTCCCAAACACCGCAGGATTTGCGGGTGCTCTCCGAGGTGGTTGTAGATGCCCTCCTCATGTCGCAGGGCGTCTTCGCAAGGCCGATCAAAATATGAGATCCTCTTTCCCGCTACCCATATCTCGTATCCCTTGAGGACCGTCTTCTGATCGTAGATAGACGCGAAGCATGAAGCACCTATGCCAATGATGGAGCCAAGTTCGGGTATGGCGGTGGTCTGCATATGGTGCGAGCTAAGTCCCGACTTTGGGAGGATATATTGGATGTCTTATGCGGGCGTGGGCGGAAAAGCTGCGAACAGCGGGATTGTGTATTAGTCGTCTCATGGTTCATCAAGAAAATTCGAGGGATAAGTGGCTTTAGTACTCGGCGGACTTGCTTTGCGAACTCCCCCTGCAGTTGAGTGTTGGCAAGCCAGTGAAGTCTGGAGCAAAGAGCGGACCAAAGCGGCCCATCGAGCCGCATCGTACAGTGGCACTTGTCTCAGCCTCCCTAGGTAGAGTAGGAAAATCAGCATTTTGGCGAGAACTGGGGTAGCATGTCGCCCACCCCTTTTACTCGGAAGGGCAGAGGGCGTATGGTCCCGACTTCGACACAGAGCCGAAGACTGCCTCGGAACAGAACATGCCTTCATCGGATTGTCGCATTCCTTAGTAATGGTGCGAATGAGGGCGGTGTGGCCGACCTTGCAGGTCTTGTACTTCTCTGTATGCTTGGTAAACTTGTGCATAATGGCAATAACGCAGAGGTTGAAAATACTGATGGAATGAAGTCCGTGAGTCTTCTGCCAGAGGGAGGCTGGATACTAACAGAGTTCAAGCTGAAAGGTGGATGGGTGATCCATCCTTTCAAGTGCTGCAGACGTATTCTTGTTTGCTTCGGCTCCAGGAGACTGCAGAGATCCTCGTGAACTGTTGAACTGTGGGTATGGAGCCCTGGCAAAGTAGAGCTGTCAAAAAAAAAGCCAATGTTCTGGTATGGCCTTCACGACTTCAATGGGAATAATATCTGACTTGATCATAGATCCGCCACAACCTTTTGAGAGCCCAATACGATGGCTGATTCCGATTGTCCGAACAACTGCACCGATGGCATCACCCCTGCAGGGTTGATTTGCAGTGTGTGCAATAAGAAGGACAAGACTTAAGTAGGAGCAGCTTTGCACTGGTTCGAGGTGTCTCGTGGCTGAAGAGCTCAGAAGAGGACGTCTGTGGAACTGGTATGGGTGAACATTCACCATCGGAGTATCGTGAAATGTAAATTCACTTCACTACGTACGTTGCCGAGTCTAGCAATTTATGGGTCTCATTTCTTTCCATTGAACAATACTTATATCACACTCACCCACCTTTCATCCCTTCCACAAAACCAACCTGCCTTTACTCCTCTCTCAAGCCTTCAATACCGAAGGACACACATGTAAGAACTCCTTTGTCCTTTGGATCTAGCCATGGTAGTTGGGACAGCTCTCTAACAGCTTCAGAATTTTGCGAGTACGCTTCAAGACAGTTCTCAACATTGGTTCAACGAGTCATTCACACCGCCTCCGTACTCGGTGCAAATTTATTTCCCACTCTCCATCCTCAAAACAGCTCAATCTCAACTACATGCCTTGTCTACGGTGACATCGTCTGCCATGACCTCGGCTGCACCAGCTGAGAATGCGATAGAGGTGGTAGCATCGGAGCAGGCGTGGAAATGCACGGACGATGATCTCATCTTCGACCACAGTAGGGTGATACTGCGTCGGGGGTTCACGTTATTTCTTCGCTCGGCAGGAAGATCGATATGCGCCCATCGATGCCACAAAACTCGACCTCGAAGAGATACCCGAGACGTTTCTGTACGCAGCAATCCCTGCCAACTTCACCCGAGCTCCGGAACCACCCCCTACAAACACCTACCTCAAGCACCCCAACCTACTCAATCTAGACTTTAGGGGTTTCCCTTACTATCTAAGTTTCTGAGCTGTTACTGCTTTATCTTAAGCTGTAATATGCTGGGTAGAGTGATAATATAATCTAGAAGTCTTATTGTTAGCCACCCACCCTGGCTAAGAAAATAGAAGAACCTATATAGGGGTGTTTTATGAAGGAGATCTGGCTCTACTGGGGAAGGCTTAGCTAATCTGACCGACGCGTTCTTAAAGCATGAATCGCTGCAGTAGCTCTGTGGAATTGAACTTCAACCTTTTACACACCTTTGATTTGCCCCCTATCTTAGTTGTGACAGCTCTACTGCGCTGCAACACAGCCCAGCAACCTACGGGACTTCACTAACATTACCGTAAGAGTCAGCAATAACACCGTGAACTCTCCTGTAGCAAACACAGAGCATGATATCGGCCCACCACTTTCTCAATGCCATTGCATTTTCTTGGGGTTATAGGAACGAAATCCGGAACATTGTGTTTATCTGCACACCGAAGAACTTGTATTGATGGAGAACTATACGGGAGTTGCTGTCAGAAACGAATTTACCGCAATTCCTAATCACCTCCCAGAATGAAGCCACCCCTCAGGCACATTCCTTGAAATTAGAACGGAAACCAATTTCAGCTTTTAGGCAAGAAATCCAGGAAAACCCAAAACTTATCGACGCGATTCGAGAACACAGAGTTCTTCAGGCTCCCCCCCTCCCCCCCCCCCCCCCCCCCCCCCCCCCCCCCCCCACTGACCGGGCTCGAAGACAGTAGGCACCAGTTGGCTCGTCCCGCCCGTGACCTTGTCGTACCAGTAGGCTCTGATGCCATGCACGTCGACGCGCCTCTCCCACCTCGAGTGTCTGCCGTCCCGTAGGAGGATTTCCCTTACGCTGAATCGTTCATTCGTCTCACGGCACCGGTAGTCGATCCAGCCAGTGCTGTCTTTCATCTCCTTCCAGTGCTTGCCGTCTATATTATGGTATCTGAGTCCATATTCCCACCACTGACCCTTGTATCTGGAGCCTTTCATCTCGGCCAAACTGAGGAGGTACCTGCGGTTGAGTAGGATATTCCAAAATTCAGCCATTCGTTTGTTTCTGGCACTCCCCGTTCCCAGCTTTACGCGCCAGACGGACTCATCCAGGAAGTGACGCCTAAATCTTCTGTATTTATCTCTTGAGTAGTGCGCCTCGGCGTCTTCAAAAGTATCCTCATCGCGGTTCTCGCCATCGTCGGTTGAGTCTGGGTCGTCGTCGCCATCGTCGGTTGGGTCTGAGTCGTTGTCATCGAGGTTGTCTGGGTCCGGCGGGGCTGCCCGTTCAAATAAATCGACTTGGCTGCATGGCGCTTGAATCCGGCGATCATAGTCCTCCTTCACTAGCTGCCACTCCTGAAGAGCCTTGCTGTGGTTCTCGTGGTTCGTTCCCATCCTCTCTGCCATAGTCAGCAGCTGGGATTCAACTCTATGGGTGAGCTCCTTCTGTTTCTGCAGCTCACTCTGCACCTCCTTCAGTTTATCCTCGTGCATCTTTTGCATGTCGACTTTAAGAGCTTCCGATGAAGACTTCAGTTGCTCCAGCCGTGCCCGGCTCCTTTCCTGTTCCGCATGGATAAACTCCAGAACCTCCTTGTCACGGCTCTCTAGCACCAACTTCATCTGCTCCTGCTGCTCAACCTCTCGTTCTCTAATCTCCTCGATGAGCTTCCGCGACTGCTCCGTGAACTCCTTCTGCAGCTCTATTCCAGCGTCTGTTTCATCCAGGTTCTTCTTATTGTAGACCATCTCCTTCTGGATGGCTAGAGGCTGTGCCTCCGGTGAGTCTGCCCCAAAGCCCGGTTCGGCCAGGATATCCATTGCAGAGGTCTCGTTGTTGTAATGTCTCACGGTGCGAGACCCCTTTTCGATCATGAAGCCCCAATGTTCTTCTCTGCTCTTAAGTTCCGCCTCTCGCCGCTCACCATCTTCCATTCCGGTCTTGTCCCACATCGTGGTCACAAGAAGGACATTTTTCAGGGCGTCTGGGCCACATATTTTCTTAAACAGCAGGAGGTTTCTCATCTGGGTTCCGCCCATGCGTGTGTCCGAGATGCGATGGAGATATAGGATCCCCTGCAGCTGCTTCTTGCTTTGGAACGATTTCGTCATCCAGTTGGCAATCTCCTTAAGGACTTGGGTGTCGGTTCGCTGAGAGTCGTCGAAACCCGGGGTGTCGATGAGAAAGACTTTCACATCGGCGAACAGATGGCACTGGTAGATGTGCACTCCCTGGGTGCCTGCGGATCGAGAACCGTTAGTACCCAGACTCCAAGACAGCCGGTGCGTGACATACAAGATTTAAGGCCATGGCCAATTTCCGGCGTTTCCTTGGTACAGTGGGAGATGAATGTGCTCTTTCCAGTTCCTGTCATCCCCATGACGGCGATGTAAATCTCTTCGGGTTTGTCCTGCCGGGGACGATCAGCCCTCTCGCGCCTCCGAGACTGCCCCAAGTGTGAAGCAGCTACGAATTGCCAGGGCCCAGCATCGCTTCCGTAGTCGCTCGAAGCACCATCGAAGGATTTGATATCTACCATGGAAGCGGTTTGCTACGGCGAGGGGATACAGGGGAGTCAAAGAGGGGAGGAGTGACAGAAACGAACGAGCAATGCAAGAAAAGAGCAGTATTACTTTTTACGCCCTGGAGATGATCAGGCTGGCTTCTTGACCATTTATATAGCTGGCTCAATCTTGGCGTTTATCTACCTTGTAGGCAGCCAGCCCTGGAAAAGTGCAATTTGTGATTGAAACACGTCGCGTTGCATGAGGCGCGGACGGATGTCATGCCGTTGGGCAGTGAGGCAGAACATTGGACGTCGCCTCCGCCAGCACAGCCCGCTGCCGTGCAACTGTAATGTGCCTTGACAACACGGGGATTGGGTCCTATCAATACTCTCATCCTGGCTAGCGAACGGGAATGCTTCAGCTGCCACGTCGCTTTTCGCTCCCTCTGCATGAGGAGGTGGCTGCGGACTAGGCAGACCAATCGAAATGCTAGAATGAAGGGGGGATTGTCACTTTTAGAAACGTGGGCTGCTGACGGCGCTGGGCCTTGTATTACAGCACATCCAGCCTGACAAGGAGGCAGCCGCGGGGCAACACGGGAGCATGGGACACTCGCCGCGAGCGCGGCGAGCCTGATGCCTCGAGATACTTACCGTCTCGACATCATTCACATTCCCAAGTCGTGGTTATCAAGTCTTGGTTATGCTGCCGCGTGGTGAGGGTTTCTAGTTGGGACCCTTCGCGAACGTGATGGATCCATACCCGGTCCGGTCGGCATCACGCCCGGTGTCCGATTCGGTGGTGTTTGTGATGGGGAACACTGGTGCGGGAAAGACGACCTTTATCTCGGCACTCACGGGCCAGGACGAGGGAATTGTCCATGCACTTAGCTCCGGTAGGCGCGGCGCCAGTTAAGATATCCATCCGTACGGCTAGCTCATCCGGTGTACAGGCACGACCAAAGTTGCGATCTCAAACGTCGAGTTCAGAGGAAAGGTGATCCAACTTATCGACACCCCCGGCTTCAACGACACCTGGCGATCTGATGACGACATCCTAAAAGAGATTGCCTTCATGCTCAGCAAGGTGTATGTCCACGGATACAAAGTCGCCGGTGTGCTCTACCTGCATCGGATATCGGACAATAGGGTACCCGGTTCGGCGCTGAGAAGCCTCAGGATGCTCGAGAAGATCTGCGGCCTCGCAGCTGCTCCGCGCATCTTCCTAGTGTCCACAATGTGGAACCAGATCCGTGGTAACAGCGGTTTTATGGAGCAGGCGGAAGCCACCGAAGCGGAACTGAAAGCGATCCCCGAGTATTGGCAGCGTCTATGCGAGCACGGAGCACACGTGAGGAGGTTCTGGGCAGATACCAATTCCGCCGTCTCAATCCTGGATAATATCGTCGATCAGAGTGAGACACTGGACCTGACACCGCTCCGAATCCAGACGGAGCTTGTGACTGAGCAGAAACGGCTTTACCAGACTGGGGCGGGCGAGGCGTTGTTGGCATTCCACGATCTGCACGGCCAAGAGTGCACGGATGACAAAAGCGCAACCCCTCGTCCAAAGAAGACGGCGGCACATGGTAGCAGATCCAGGGCAGACGTCTCGGTCAGTTTGGAGGCTCTAATGATCGAAAGGGAGAGAGCATATCGTACCATTCTCGAGCAGACAGAGTCTCAGCACCATGTCTTGGTCGAGGATCTACACCAAAAGCAATCTGCATGCAGGCAACTCAGAGCTGATCATAATGCTACCCTGGAAACGATGAGAGAAATCGAAACAGATTGGGCTGCAAAGCAGGCAATACTTGATGACCGGCAAAGACCTCAAGCACAGCCGATGTTCAACAGAGACCAAGATCTCCAAAGGTTGAGGGAGGAACAACGTCACGTAAAGGAGCAATATTACGAACTAGAGACCGAGAGCAGAGAGAAAATCGAGAATACAGAGGAGACCGTTCAGCGCTTGCGGAAGAGGGAGGTAATGAGGCGAAATATTCTCCCTTTCCTCGGTGTCCTGGCAGGGGGCGGCGTCATTGCTGCAGGAGCTGTCACGGGAATTGTGCCCTTGCTTGGTCTAGGAGCGGGCTTCGCTCTCAGCAGTCTCGACAGGTTGAAACTTTCTCGAAAACAGGGACGCAAGGATGCCGAAGGCAAGCCCGGCAATATGGCGTCAATGTCGAGTACCAGCATGGAGGATTCACGTGAAACATGAGGTCCAACCAGGAAAGCCTGAAGGCAAGCAGGTATGAAGATAAGAAAATAGCTTCAATTTCTTTTAGATGACATAACTTAACAATAATTGAGCCCTCCTGTGAGCTGGTGGATCAAGAGTTCCCTACGATATGGCGTTGCCTTGTATGTGATGGTAGAAGAGCCGTACTGTACCCTGCCAAAACCAAATCCAGGCCCCGCCGCACCGGGCCGCATCTCGGTGACAGCTGTCTGTGTTGCATCGCGCCGCCCGCCAGTGCAGTGGATCCACCCGACGACGGCCGCGGCGCGGCGTCTTGCGGGCCGGCAGATCACGGGCTGATCCTCTCGCATGCATACCACACGGCCGGAACGCGTGTTTGGCATTTCACAAAGACACGGGGCACAAAGGACATTCCATTCCAACGCAAAACAACAACAGTTCGATTTATTTTTTTTGTTTGCAAGATTGGCGTGAGACATTTTAGGGAAGGGCCGCGAAATGCAACACGGGGGTGGTATTTGGCGTCGGGCCGCGTGTTGTGCGTGCGTTATCCCAGATGCACCCTCGTGCCCTTTTATTTGGGAAGAATGCAAGATAGATCCCATGCGATATTTATAAGTACTTACTCTCTATTCTTGGATAATGAAGAATGGCAATTCTCATAGGTACGATTCCGTCCATGCTGTAATTTCCCATCTGCCAATCCATTCCTTCGCGTTCCTTCGTAGCCAGCCACGCCGCCTCGTGTCGACGCAGCGCCTCAGTGAAGCCTCAGAGCACACAAGACTCGGCTCCCTTCAGCACTTCAGCCATAAGGGCGCCTCCAACGACCAGCCCATACCAAAACCGCACAGATTCCCGTCACAACCGCAGTAGGCAGCGCGATCCGGCCCTGCCGCCGTAAGAGGCATACATCCCTCCTCCACTCCGCAGGTATCTGTACTTCCCATCACCATTCTCCAGTCTCAGGCGCTCTCTCCCTCTCTCTAACCGCACGCCCCCTCATGACACGTTCCTGCCCGAGCAAAGTACCCTTTGGAAAAGCAGCTAAAAGTGAGACATTCCCTCAAGCCACCGAACATGCCCCCTGCGCGGGACCAATCACCGTCGGAGCGCAAGACCCACCCTCGTAATTTGTGGTTATGTCTCTCGCTTGCCCACTGGGGCGCCTGTAAGGGAAAAGACGTCACCGTAGCATTCCAGTCGTAGAAATACACACGCGGCGAGTCATTCCTCTCCGCCTGGGACGTGTACCTTCCACGGCTTGTCATGACTACTGTCCCCTCCTCGGCAAGCCATCCGTCCTCTTCTCGCAGGGTATGTGAATCAGGTGCGAGAGACAGCAGCTGAGTCGACACGACCTGAGGAAGTATCCGAGTCGCATCTCTCTCCATGTAGGTATCCATAGGGAGGCTGGGGGCGCGCCGGAGTGGACGAACTATCGTCATAAGTCTGGCAAGATCTCATCATCAGATAATCAGGTCTTTGCCTTTCCTGTTCCCATGGAACACACGGCATGATATCAAAGTGATGTGCGCGCGCGGGCCAAAAAAACGCACAGATGCCATGCAAAATCCTTTTGACAGGTCAGGTCGGGCCACCTCCAGCCCTAATGCAACGGGATTGCCGGGAGACGGGGGGAGCCAGCGCTTTTGCTTGCGCCGCCCTTCCCTTCCCTTTCCCCGCCAGGAATCTCGCGTGGTGCCCTTGTCAAGCGTCAAGGAAAGCCCGCCCGCGGGCGCCCGCTCGTTACCTAAACCCCCCTACCCTTCCTTCTCCGAAGAACGGCCTGGGGCTGTCATGCAAGGTACCGAGCGACTGGAATGTGACAGAGAAGGGAAAAAAAAGACAAGTGGCTGGGCATGCGGCCTAACGACCGGACTGACCGTGTACCGGCCAGACTAGCGTCTGTGTGTGAAAAGGACGCTTTCCATCATGAACTTTTTGAGTTGCTGAAGCCTCGTCGCCGTAGTAGTGTCCACGGCCCTTCCCTTGACCTCTCGCATCGGACTCTCACTCCGGCCGTTTCTTGTCTCCGGCCCTGATCTCGATATGAGTCATGAGGGCTTGACTCGAGTGAGCAAGCATCTTCCGAACCGAAAGCCAAAAAGCGTTGCCATCCGGCCAGGCTCGATCCGCTGGGATCACGGATGTGTCCAGTGCCATGGTCTCTTGGCGAAACACTATAGCCCAATTTCCCTTCCAGCGTCTCCGGGCCGGAGCGTAGAGGACTGAGCCAGGTGACCGTCTCATGACAAAGAGACTCCCAAGCACTCGCCTCGTATCGCGTTGGATGTATAGGAGGGGGAGGGTCCGTCAGCTACGGCGAGCTTGTTTCCAGCGGCCTTTTCAGCTGAAAGGCCCCCCTAAGGACCACCTCCAGCGGGTAGACTGCCCTGACCTGGCGCTGACCGAGGTAAGGGGGTGTACTCCCAGTGTCTGGCCCCCAAGAGAGAGCCCCAGGCTGTGCCGGCTGGACATGACCAAGCAGCACAGGCAGAAACTCTAAAAGGTCCTCGGGACGGGTCGACTCTTCCAAATACACTTTCGGGGTGGGAACCAGAGTTGCACCCTAGGTATCTCTCTTCCCTTCCCTCATGATGCCATCCTTGGAAGTACCGACCCTGTTCTCTCTCTCCGAAGGTAGGCTCGCACCGCCCGCGCGACGGGTCTTTTCCTTTCTCTGCCCATCCTTCCCCTCCCGATCTCATCGAGCAACACGGCCAACTAGCGAGGAGGAGAAAGAAGGGTAACTGGAGCCGGACTGGATCCTCCTCCCACCCTTCCCTCATAGGCTCAAATCTGAGACTCTGGGTCGGCGACCTAACCCCCGTTTCGTCCAATGGGGCCGGGAATGGCGTGACCTTTACACCTTTGCCCGCTGTCCATCCGCCTCCTTCCCCTTCTTCTTTGCGACTGACAATGCCCGAGCCCACCCCCTCAACCGTCGCCGGCCTTCACCGTCCGATCTTCGATTGGGTGGGATGGTGTAGGTGCGGAGGGGCAAAAGTGGACAAAGGGCAGAGGGTAGAGAGCACGGGTGTGCCAGCGTGACTGGTCCTTGGTCTCTTCTGCCCAGAAAAAGAAAGGGCGCCGTCCACCGCTCGGGGCCGTCTAGGGCTAGGGAAGAGCAGAAACTCGTTCGAGTATGGGAGGAGAGGGGAGGAGTAAAAAGGAGCGGCCCGTCAGGCATGGCAGCTGCAGCGATGATGCCAGTTCGCGCGCCTCCCGGTCTTTTTCCCAAGACCAGAGAACCCTGCTCACCACGCACAAGCGATGGCACTACCATCACTCACTAAAAAGTTTTCCCATGTTCATTTTTGTAGCCTCAGCGGTTGGGAAGGGAGGAGAGAAGGAGAGAAGAGAGAGAGACGTCGTTTCACCTCCGCAGAGCCTCCAGATCACATGACAAGCCAAACAGACCGGTGAATAAGCAATTAAAAAAAGCAAGAAAAGCGAAAAGGTGTGTGTGCTCATGCATGCAGGGCCGATAGTTCTTTCAGCTCCGGAGTGCAGGAGGGCTGGTCTAACACCCGCACACCCGTCCGCGCTTTCAGCTACAGAGAGAGTCAGCTGGGATGCGACGCTGCTGCATCCCCCAACGCTGTTGCATACAGCATGCGCATGTAGGTGGTTCTACACAGCCTCTCCCAACCAGTAGCAGACCACGGATACGGACAGGGTAGAAAAAACCAATAGCGTCATCGCCCCTTCTCCTCCCATGCGACCCAGCAGGGCGGGCACGCCGAACACTTTAGGGCAGGTTATGGTTGAGCAAGCCAGTGTGTCTGTCGACGGGCCATCGCCCGCTGTTCGGAGCGGGGAGTGGGCGAAAGGGAAAATGACCTAAGAAGAGTGGGAAGAAGAGGAGAGACGGCAGCAGGCGGCGGCGGCCCATGCTACCAAGCAAGTTAGGAAGACCAACACTTGGGACCTAGCCTACTTAGTGGGAAAAGAAAGAGGAGGGAAAGCAATCCTTTGTTTCCACACACCCCTTTCTCACTTTTGGGACTACTTCTTCCCCTCTTGCCCGCACAGGTGTACCATACTGTCAGAGTTCACATAGGCGAGCGCCGTTTGCAAATAGCTATCAGCACATACGCCACACACACACACTATGTGAAGAATCCTAAAGAAGGAGGGTGTGGAGTCTTCTCGGAGCCAAAGCCGGAGGCTTTGGGGGGGTCAGCAGGTGTAAAATAGGAGCGCGAGATAGTTGCGAGCAACACACCCTTCTCCACGTATCTATCACCCGTAGACAGATTCTCAGATCAGACGAACGAGGGGAAGAGCACCGCACAAAAGGGCTAGGAGGGCTAATGCCCTCGCTGGTGATGTTGGTTCTAAGTAGACGGTGGCCCCCTGAGTCCCCATTCTCCGATTGGATCGCCACATTCCAGTCCCGGACGTGGGAGGGGTCAGCATGGGTACTTACCACCTATGCATCGAGCTCACCCCCCTTCTGGCTGGAATGTGAGAAAGAGGGGAAACAGAGGAAGCGAAGAGGAGGGGGGGTGGGAGTGGGAGGGCAGGACCGCAAGCGGGTGGGGTGTGGGAGCCGGGTCCTTGCCCCTAAGGCAGAGAGGGCCGCAACGCATCCGTCTTTTCGTTCGACTCGTGCTGCAGGTACCGCACGTTGTATGGAGTCAGGTGACGGCATCCGCCCTCGGCCGCCCGCCTGACAGAGTTAACCTTGGCTGAGACATTTGCGTCAACAAGCCTCGCTGGCGTGCGAGTCGCGGCCCGCTCTGCAGCTCAGGACCGCCGCGCCAGATCCGGCCCCGGGGGGGTAGTAGTCGTGCGCCGAGAAGGAAAAAAAAGTCCAGCAGGTGAATAAGTATGACTGCACCTGGTTAGCGAGAATGGAAAGAGAGAGAAGAAAAAAAGTGCCAAGAAAACGGGGAATAAGGACAAACCCAGACAAACAAGTTCGAGTGTGGAGGGGCAGAAGGTTTGCTCGTGTCGAACGAGGGGCATCCTAGCCAACCCTCCCACCCGTACGGCTCCAACCGGCGCACCTAATGCATGTCCCTCCTCCCAGACCAACGCCTGGTGCGGTAGCGAACGCTTACGACGCTGGGAGACTGTTCTGTTCTCTTTCGTAGTAGCGTGTGAGTCCACGAACTGGTTCCAAGCTCGAGTGTGCTGCTCGCCATGGTCCGCCATCGTAACACGGCTGTCCTAGAACCGACATCCTTCGGGCTTCCCTCTTCGCTCGTGTAGAAATTAGCATCACATCAGGCCAAGTCCTCTCCCAAAGGGTATTGATGACGGGAAAGATGAACAGTTGAACAATGAGTTGTATGAAATGCTCTATGATTTTGGACGAGGAAGCACCAGCATCCCAAGATGTAGTAGCTGCCGCTTCCCCCTCCCGAGTGACGAACTCAATACAGGCCCCTTCCCATGAAGTGAACTCGCGCTAGGGAAAACGACTCGCTTGGCCCAGTCAAAGAAGCAAATCTGCAAGACAAAAAGACAAAAACAATACCAGGGCTGCGTCTCCATATTAGAACGAAGATAATGATATCAAAGTACAAAAGCAAGTGTTGCCGTGAGGCTTTCCATTCTTTCCCGAGAACAAGAACAATATAAAAGAGGGATAGCTGTACGCCAAATAATAAGAAGGAAGAGGTAATCGCGAGATCGGTGTCTAAAACATATAGACTGAATGGCACGCGCAGAGTAAAAAGCGGTGTGGCGTCTGAAATGTATGTATCGAGAAAAGTTGCGGGAAGTGCGATGCAATGAACCCTGTAGCGATAGTGATATGCATGTGGAGGAAACCCCACGATGCGTGCAGCAGCAGAAACAAAACTCTGAGAGGAAAAGCATCTTGAACAAGAACAAGAGAGACCCATGAGGTATAGCATCTCTACCAGGCAAAAGACCTCCCAATGATTCAACCCGTCGCAGCCCAATACCGCTTTTGAGCATTCCATTGTTTGAAAAACCCATCGAGATGCCAGATCTCGATCCCTGAATGCGCCGGATATCGCCTGCTTGCGCCGAGTGCAAGCGCCGAGTAAAGAATGAAGAAAGTAGAGCGCATCTTGAGCGGCCACAGTGCCGGAAAGCCGTTTAACAATTACTGTAGTGTGAGGCGGAAAGACGCGCAGACAATTCGAGAACAAGTAACCGGGATGGCCAGATAGGGTTATTCGATCAAGCCGACACCTGGCGCGCGAAGACTCCAAAACGGGGGGGAAAGTAAGCAGGGTGTGTCCTTGGGATTCCCTTCCTTCCTCTATTCCAGTCTCATCGACATTGGCCACGACCACTACCCTCGACGATTCAGACGTCCCAGCATGCTCGAATCGATGTCATTGCCGCCGCCAGGTGGTGGATGGTCCATCAGGTTTCCGAGGCTCATCGGATGGCTGGAGCTGGAAGCGCTCGCGGGGGCAGCGCCTCCAGGGCTGTTGCGCCTCGAAGTCGGCGTCCTCTCCGGCTCGTACTGGAACGAGTGATAACTCGCAGGCGGAGTGTTGCTGGGAGCCGACGCCGGAGAACGGCGTCGAGGATCTCTAGGGTCCTCTTCGTACGGATGAGGCGGGGGAAGACGCATCCCGGGTTCGTCCTCAGCTGGCCGGGGTCTTCGCCTCGCGGTTTGGCCCCTATCGTCCGGATGCCCATAATAGGCACCGCCAGTCGGTGACGGGAGAGCGTAGTCCTGTTGGGATCCGGCCGGCGCGGGGCGTCCGTACCCAGGCTGTGGAGGACCGCCCGCTTGATGAGAGCCGGGGAGCGGCTGCCCAAAGGCACCGTACAAAGGGGTTCCAGGGGGAACACCTCCGGGAAGCGCCGAGACTGGAATGAAAGCCGTCGAAGCTGATGACGACACAGGCTGGAAAACGCAGTCGTTCCCTGTCTTCTTGCAGTTTGTGCACTTTCCTTCTGGGGTGTTCGCATAGCCACTGCATCGGATCTGTTGCCGTCAAGTCAGCACACTACAACCTATTTTCATCAAATCTCACTGCTCAGCGGTACGAGTCGACTGACCTTTCGCTTCCTGCAGTATCTGCAGGCTATTGAGGTTCTTTGCCTCGGGGCGGCTTGTGGAGGAGGAGGTCCTGCGGGCGCTCCTCGATAGTCCGCCGCGTAAGCCGCATACCCAGGTCCGGGCGGCCCCTGGTGAGGGGGGTAACCGTTGTAAGGGTGGTACTGCTCTTGTCCATACGGAGGTCGCTGTTGGCCTCCATGTTGGCTTAGGTGATAGTCTCGCGACTCGCTGCCGTACGCGGGACGCTGATCGGCGAGTGCATGGAAGGGTGGTAGATAGGTGCCCCCCGAAGGAGGCTGGTAACCGTTGGGATTGCTAGGTGACCCAGAATACTGCGTCCGAGATGTTGATTCCGGGGGAGGATAGCGGCTGGAGGGGGGCCCATAGGAGCCGTCGTTAATGGATGGGAGCGTCATGCCTGTCGCCATTGGGATGGGTGGTAGTTGGTAACTCTTGGGTCGTTCCTCTGCCTCTGAAGGTGGGGGATACTGGGTTTCTTCCTCGCTATCGATGTTCGGAAGTCCTTTGCCACGGGGGTCTTCTGCCATGCTCTGGCGGCGAACAGCAAAAGGCGCCAGTGTCTGATGTCTCTTGCCCTGCTACGCTGCGCTTGTTGGCTGTTGCAGTTCAGAGATGGAGATCGTCAACGTTGGTTGTGTGTGCTTTTTTGGAGAATTATTGGCGGCAAGAATTATTCCCAGGCAGCACCCCGCATAATAATGCAACAAATGGTGAAGGGTGGGAGGGCCGCTGGATCCGGCGCGCCTTTAATAGCCTGTCTCTCCGCGAGCGCAAACCCAGAGAGCCGGAAGTACCTACGCTGCTGCAAGGAGGTGGGGATCAGCTAGCAGCGGGCGGGAACTGCCTTGGTTCGAGTGCGCAAGGTTTGGTCGACACAAAAATTTGCGGGTGAGCGCCGTCGGTAACGTAGCGGGACCTGCAGGTCCAGGTACAAAGAATGCCGCTAGAGATCAGGAACGCTCGAGTAATCTCAGCGCTGAATTCCAGAGGCTGGTCGGAGTGTCAAGCTTAGGAGGGGGTTCTGAAGAAAATGGGTAAATCTCTTGAGGGAGAGCGGATTGTGGGAGGAATGCAAGGAACAGATGGGAGAAATTGGGACGACCAGCGGGTCCTGGCCGAAGGGACGAGTTTGACTGGAATGCGCCCACAAGCGAAGCCGTGCGTGCCCGCAAAGATCAGTCTGATCCTCTTTTCGTGTCCTCGGGAGTTCCCTTGATCGCGGATCTGTGGCTTAAGTTAGATGCTGCTTGCTACCTTTTGGCTGGAATGCAAGAAGACGTAGAGAACAAGGCAGACAAGAGGTTTGTGACGAGTGATCTGACGAGGTATCGAGTTGGTACGTCAAAGGGGGGCGTGTAAACTCTGTCCAGGACGTAAGAGTCAGGGACGAGCAAGTCACTGACTCTTCCCTCTGTCCACCCCCCTTCGAAGTAGACCGACTGTCTTCGATTTCTGAACCCACTTTCGGTTCCTTGCCAAATAGACCTTAGACCTCGTGTATACCTTGGTCGTTGAGTAGGTAGATAGGTGCTCATCACACATCATAGCTCCCACTTGGGCGTCATGGTGGGTGAGTCAGCAGGTATTGCTGAAGGGGACAGTTGACAACAACAATCCGAGTGCAACTCAAGAGACCGGCTCACGGTTCTTCTTCTCTCACTTACGTCGACACGTGAAGCATGATCAACGTTGACAGTGCATAAGCCAGGCTGAGTTTGGCGGCATGGACCGCACGACACGAGCAACTGGTCGACTCAGGCCTACGACGTCTCGGTTTGGGGGAGAGGCAGGCGAGGCAGAGGATGAAAGGGAAAGCTTCATGTTGAATACATCGGGCGAAGACAAGAAGAGGCGAATAGCCAGAAAGAAGCACAGACATGTACGTACCTTTGATGTGAAGAGGGTTTCTTGAGCTGTGGGCTTGTTTCGACAAGGCAGAGAGATGATGTAGTGGACAGAAGAGATAAAAGTACTGCAGAGGAAAGGAAGTCTGTTCTAGGATTGTGTCAGCGCCTGATTTATGTGGGCGTCTGAGGCCAGGTAGGTTGAGCCAGTACGATGGGAAAATCAGGTAAACCACTGGATTCATGCACAGAAAAGCGCCCTTGCCAGGCGAGCCAGGGTACAGTCGGTAGCTAGCTGACGAAGGGTAGAAGAGAAGGGAAAGGGAAGGGGGGTGTGGGTGGAGAGAGAGAGAGATGGCCTTCCTTGACGTCTAGGGTCTTGGTGGAGGTGTGCCAGGGCTCAAGGGGATCGGTGGTAACGGATGGGGTCACCAGGGTACGTACCGACGGTGTTTTTCCCGTTTAGACTGGTACCACACGGAAGGGAGCGGCGGGTGGAGCAAGAGTCTCTTTGGAATCGACAAGGCCCTCCTTGTCTCTGCAAGGATATTTGCGCGTGCAGTGGCTTCGTGGGAGGGGCCCCCTTTGCAGCGCTCGGGTGGCTCGCGCCTAAGATGGAACGCCGTCAGAACCCACCACAGCGGCACCTGCCCGGCTGCAGAAATGGCCGCAGGAAAGTCGACGCCAAATGTGTCCCGCCTTTATTCGCCCGCTGTCGCCTCTGGCCGCCGACAGAACCAGCTCTTGCCAGGCGCTAGCTTCGTCCTTAGCTGCTGGGTCACCACCGCCGTGCCTTAGCGCCAAGCCAGCACACTGCAAGTGATGTAGTGGTTTTTGTTCGCGACAGATCGATCCCCTTTTGTGGCTTGGAACTGGAACTCCAACAAGGCCGAGAGGGGGTCAGCGCGTACGGCTCTTTGTTGTGCACTTTCGCAATTGCTGCTGATGATGCTGCTGGCTGTAGTTTCCCGCTCTGGTCGCAGGTCATGCCACGGCGCGGGATCTGCACCCTCTATTTCTCAAACTCCCGCCTTTGGGAACGCGGGAGAGGGTAAATGTGGGAATTGTGTCAAAATAGGCGACGGGAAGATCTGCAACAGACCCGGTTGCACACAGCTGTTTGTGTGCCGTCTGACGGACTCGTCGGTCTGGTTGATTCTGTACTCTCGCGTCAGCACATGGGTTCAAAAGCGGAAGGTTGTCCGAGCAGTCGAAGCGAACTGCTCAACATGGTTTGGATTCTCTGCTCAATCGACGGGCTGCCAACCTACACAGGCAAGGACTGCGCTTGGTGGTTCTATGCACTCTGCTGCGACTTGGCTGGTACTGCTGCGTTCGTCAAATCGTTGAGTGGTGGCCTTGAAAGCGACGAGGATTTCTACGTGGTCTTATAGGCGGCTGTAAGGACTGGCGATTTGTGTTTGCGACCAACAGTCGAGAGTATTTGAGAGTATTTCGCAGTCTCTGAGCTCGCGATGCTGTATTACTTCGGACACTGTACAGGACTCCACCTGCTCCAAGAAGGCAAGTTGTGCGGTTGTGCCAAGTAGTTCAGCTGCCCGAATATTTGTTTTGCGGCGACGAAGTGTGATTCCCAAGCAAATCGATGCGCTGGTTGTATTTGTCTCTTGCGAGAACTTTGAGCTGTGCGGAAGGGTCCGAAGCGGCCGGACTTGGTTCGTGAGCGTAGTAGGGATCACAAGGGCCCGGCCCTGCTGTTGACTGTTGGTTTGCAGCAACACCACGAACCGAGAGTATCTGGAGCCACTCGCTGCGGATGTTGGGAGGAGTGAGAAAGATCAAGAACAAAGGACCAAACACGAAAGCAGGCGGTGGTGCATGGGGTTCCAAGAACTAATTATGGGCTTCCGAGGTACCCACTACCGTGGCAGGAACAGGAACGGTGGCCAAGAAGGATGGTCCCGGTGCATACGTCCCGTGATATTGTTCCTGGAGACCTGGGCGGAGTCGGGTCCCTGCTTCTCGAGGTTCGAGGCGGCCGGGAATTCGGTGACTTGACACTACAGGACCTTGTCTGTGCTGCGCGTGTTCCTCGCCTCGGCGAGTCCCTTGTCTTCTGGTGCAATATCGCGGATACGTAATCGGTTCCTGCCGGGGGTGGACAAACGTATAGATATGTGATGTGTTGGCTCCGTCAAAAGTGACTTTCTCGCTTTATTTCTTTCCCGGCTTTTTCGGTCTCGCAAATGGCTGAAAATGTCACACGAACACAGGGGAAAAGAAGCAAAATGAAAAATGAAAGGAGATGAAGTGCCCTGCCGACAAATAACGCGCGCAACCAACCGGGAGATCGTCCTCTCCTAATGTAGGTACCATTCAAAAACAAATGAAGGAGGGGCGCAGACGAGACCTTTTATGAGCAAGGACGCCGTCATACGCAGCACCTGTGATCTCGAGTGTCTGTGGAGAAGACTCTTTCTGCAAGATCTTGGCTCGGGCTCCAAATCGGCTCATCGATGGGCTGTGCGCTGCGTAATATGTAAATGAGAACGGGTAGCAACGCAGCGCGACGGGGTCCGGACATCGAGGCAAGCAGCCAATGGTGAGGGTAGGTGTCGTTCCGAGGTGGTCATGCGCGACGGATGGGGGTGGGAGGAGCAACTAAGATAAACTGGTGTTGGGATGTGGACCTCGCCGTCAGCTGGTGTTCTTATGGCTGGTCCCGGACGGGTGATGTCGCTGGATGTGCCCCGTAAAGATGACCAGCGAAAGACACCGTCCCTCCCACTCGCGATACCCTGTGGCCTTGGGCTTTGGCAAGCGGGTGTCAGAATAGTTGCCGGAAGTCCATCCGGAGATACCTCACTGCATCAATATCCTTGGTCCGGAACTTGCAAGGGCTGTTCGCACTGCCTGAACTGATGGGCTCGATGAATAGTCAAGTATTTCTGCTAACAACCCGTCAACTACTCTGACCATTACTTGGCTGGCTACCGCCGGATGGATGGGGGTCTTTTGACAAAGAGGGTGTGCAGCTGTGGTAAAAGGTGCGAGGCGCGAGAGCACTCGTCGTGCTTCTATGGAAGGGCGACAACGGTGACCAGACCAGGGTCGGACGCTGGGATGGAGGGGGAGGGGTGTGCGTATGTGAAAAGAAAGAAAAAGAGGATGGTGAATGGACGGTGCGGTTCGAGAGTCGGAGTTGTCCTCCGTCCACACCTCTTCACTTGTGTTTGATGCCCTGTACTCGGATTGCCGTTTTCAGGACGAATATCCAGACGAGGATGGCGAGGACAAGGCAAATGGACGTGAGCGCCCGCCCGGCTTCAGTTGACCAAAGCTGAGGTCAGCTGCAAGGGGACGAATTGGACAAAGCTGGGAAACAGCGGTCACCAGCGAGGGAAGGCGCGCACGGGTATCGGGGCCAGGCTAAATGGGAAGGCGTCCGGAGCTACAGGGTCTATTATAGGGAATTAATGGTACAAACCCTCCCAGAGTGTTGTCCCTGCAAGTAATCATGGATGGGTACAAGTACACAATGTACCCATACTAACAACGAAAAGGAAACAACTCGAGAAAGAATAAAAATGAAATCCAGGGGTTGGTTGGCTGTCAATCGGCTCCTGGTCTTGCTTCTCTCGTCGGTTTCTTGCTGCCCAGGTGGGTTTCCAGGTGCTCTAGTTGGCACGCGCTGGCACTGTGGAAATCAGCTAGGTACCTAG